AGATAATCAAAATTCTATAAATCTCAATGAATAATCTAGATAATTTATACTTTAAATGTAGGAACTTCGATATAATTATTTTACCGAGAAGGATAATTTCTATGAAGCTTCTATATTAGATGAAAGTATAGAAAATACAAAAATAAATAAAAAAGGATTGTTAAACGAAAATATAGAAAATTACAAAGGCAAACTTTTATCAAGTTATTGGACGGAAATTAATTTAATTGGATATAAAATTGAATTGTTAGAAAAGCAAAAAATTGAACATCCGGATGAATTAAAAAGCAAAATTATTGACATTGGCAATAAAATAAGTAAATAAAATTTTGTTATTTAAAAAGATAAGGATATCCGAGTTGCTAAATCTAGCTTAAACATCTCTAGCAAATAAAGCTTTATATTAATTTTATAGGAGTAACAATTGAAAAGAAGAAGCGAGATTGTATCAATTGTGGTGCTAAACAAATTAAAACATGGTGGGATAAATATCTCAAAGAACAATAAACAACATGGAGATAATATTAAAACGTGGGTGCTAGTTGCTCGGGTAATAGTACTCGCAGCTGCGGTAAATTTTAACCCTCATCCCGGTTGAATCTAAATTAATTAATAGCTATACATACAATAGATTCTTCCTCTCTTTCCTCTATTTGAGCTTGGCATATTCAAACAAGAGACATTGTTGATAATGAGAAGATTAAAATTAATGAGTTGTTCGATATTGAGTTCAATTTACTTTTTCAGTTGTTCATATTTTTAAATATATGTAAGAAAGAATGTAATGTTTTTACAAAGAAATTCATAATTTTATCAACAAATCAATTTTATTTATTTTTTTAACCTTGTTTTCGAAGGCAAAAAATAAGTGTATGACTATAAAATTAATCTTCTCTTTATCAATGTCTCTTGTATGAATATGCCACAGGGAAAATAGAGGAAGGAGAGCAAAAAGAAAATCTGACCTTTATGTACAATCTTAGGTAAGAAAATAATAGAGGGGAAGGCCTTTGACAGTTAGTTGTTACAAGTAAAACATGTTAAGGAAGGGAAGAGTCCGCGAAATAAGTCCGCAGAAATAGCACCCTTTTCTTCAGTAGTGCCTGGCCTCTTCCAAGAGAATGAGTCTTTGGAGTATAATTAAAATAGAATGGACTTTTGGGATTAGACATTGCTATATTCACAAAATTATGCAAACAAGATGAGTTGGCCTTTCAGAAAATGCCAATATTTATGCCAGTCATGCTACGATCAAGGAAAAAATTGAAAGATGGAAAATATAATTTTATATGAAAAAAGCCAAAAATGAGTATAATTCAGAAAAAAGGAAATTTTGTTAAAGAAAGCAAAAAATATAGCATTAAAAACTATAATAGTAAATACATAACTATGGTTATATTTAGAGTCAGGATTTTTAGGCAAATGCCTGTTTTTTTCCTAGATAGGCCTGATGCTGAAACGTTCAAATCCGGTGTTATTTTACTGAAATCTGCTTTCTAACTAATTTTATCAATGCCTAAAATTGCCTATTTTAACTTTTTCTGACAAAATGCCCTATTTTGCCTTTTTCAGCCTATTTTGCATATTTTTACTAAAATTTGAGAATTTTTGGGCATTTTTTGAGAAAATTGTCGACAAAAAAATTTTTGCTGGTAAAATATAAAATTTTTCCAAAAAATTTTTGTCAAAAAATTTTTTTAGGAAAATTTTCCTTCTAAAAAATTTATCAAATTATTTTTGGATACAAAATAATTAATATAAATTAATTTATATGTAATTCTGATCGTTAAAATGAATTTATTTAACAGTTTATTGCTTAGTTTTATCTTTTTTTGATAAAATTTATTTAATTTAAATCAGAAAATCTCGAAAAAATCTGCCTATTTTGCCTTTTTTTCGAATTTTAGTGCCTATTTTGACAGTTTTTTAGTGCCTATATAGGAGCCTATTTTTAACTTTATCATGCCTAAAAATCCTGGCTCTAGTTATAATATTTTTACTCTTTTTTATCCATTCACTGCTTGAGAGTCTGACTTCCCCAAATTGCAGAGCCTTCAACATCTATAATAATAAAGTAAACTAAATTTTAAAGCAAAGTTAACCATCTGCTTTCGTATTTTTAGTTGATTTCTTTATTTTATGCCGTTTTTGATAACAAGCAGCACATAAATAGTGTCCTGGTTTTGAATGACAGTACCAACGTGATGTATGAGTAACATCACAAATAGAACAATTTCGATTTTGTGAGGTTATCTAAATATTTATTGAAAAAAGTATAAAAACATAAAGTTTCTCTATCGACGGGAGGATTTATTAATTAATTTATTCATGCAGATTTACCGAAATATATTTATTGAAGTGGTACAAATATCGGTTTAGTCAAAACGGAGTCTTGCAAGAAATTGTTTTCAAGAAATTGAGCAAGAAATTGCTTGTGTAACACCGTAAATAAAACATTTAAGATCTTCTTTAAATTACTTAATGAGAAGACTGATTTATGTGAAGTAGCATTCAATGCTAATTTTATTGGTTATTTTAATTGAAATAAATTTCCTAGTTAATATGCGTTTAACGCCTAAAGCTTTCTTTTTCATCTCATAGTTTCTCCGTTTTCAAATATTAAAAATAATCAATGGCAAATATTGTTAGGATTAAGTTATCGTATTATCTTAATAGAATGGTCCCTTCCAAGGGATGGTTTTTTTAGTAATTGAACTAATCCAAAAATAATAATAGCAAACCTTTTCAGTCTTAACAAACAGGCTTTTATGTCTATGCTTCCCATATTTTCGATTATAATTACCACAAATATGACACAAATATTGTTCTTTGAGATATTTATCCCACCATGTTTTAATTTGTTTAGCACCACAATTGAAACAATCTCGCTTCTTCTTTTCAATTATTACTCCTATTAAATTAATATAAAGCTTTATTTGCTAGAGATGTTTAAGCTAGATTTAGCAACGGGGGTATCCTTATCTTTTCAAATAACAAAATTTTTATTTACTTATTTTATTGCCATTGTCAATAATTTTGCTTTTTAATTCATTCGGATGTTCAATTTTTTGCTTCTCTAACAATTCAATTTTATATCCAATTAAATTAATTTCCGTCCAATAGCTTGATAAAAGTTTGCCTTTGTAATTTTCTATATTTTCGTTTAACAATTCTTTTTTATTTATTTTTGTATTTTCTGTACTTTCATCTAATATAGAAGCTTCATAGAAATTATCCTTCTCGGTAAAATAATTATATCGAAGTTCCTACATTTAAAGTATAAATTATCTAAGATTATTCATTTAGATGTATAGATTTTGATTATCTATAGTGATTTAGATTATCGATGGGTAATCGTAATCACCTGATATCACTACGAATCACGTGATATTCCTATTACATTGTCAGATTACTTTTTTCGATAGAATAATAAGTATAGCATAACAGCATGAGGACTTCTAATATTTTATTATTTACAAGTTAGATTCTATTAATAAAGCATAAAATACCCGGTTTTCAAATTTAGGCAAAAAATTTCTTATAATTTTATTATTGGCAATTTCAATCATGATTTTCATTTTCAATAAATGATTTGGATCATGTTTTGCAACATTTAATTCAATATTAATAAAAATATTTGTAGCAGGATCGAAGTCAACCAAACGTGTAAATCCTTTCATATTATAATTAGAGTCAAAATATCTATTGTTTTGCTTTTCGATTGTTTTCACAACAAAACGCTCCTTCAGATCAACATCTTTTAAATAAATATATTCTCTTTTTTCTTCCCAATCATCTTTAATTTTTAACTCAACACGGATTGGTTTTCCGACGCAATGAATATTTAATTGAATAATTAAATAGAAGAGAATGATCAAATTAAATTTACTCATCTGAAATTACTATTTCATTTTATAGTCGGTTAAAATGAGAAGTAATTGGAGAACAATGGGAGACTCAAATAGTGGGAGGACTGATATGGCATGCGCCAAGCCATTTAGGTGCTGTGATTTGGGTTCTCGTTGTTAAAATTTAGTGTTTAATATTATATAATTTATAAGGATATCGCTCCAATAAAACAAAATCTAAACATGAATTAAATCTTAAAACATATATGTCTATTTAAGTAACTCTGAACTATAACACTAAATTTTAAAGGCGAGAATTCATATAAAACTTTTTTAAATAGAATTCTAATAAAAATGTCAAAAACTAGTAAATATTCAGAAGAAGTTTGCTGAATCCATACCCAGTGTAGAGCCCAGGATAATAGAATGTGAGGGAATACTAATTAATCATTGTTGTTAGTAGTCCGGCCGGACAATATTCACCGCTCACTCCTTGAGAGCGATTAAACGGGCGACGACTAGTTCCTCCGATCGGGCAATAAATATAATAGCGCTTATTCACTTTATTAATTGACTGACTAATATGCTGACTGATTGACCGACTGATCCTTTTCTTAGCTTATTCCTAGAATTATATTGGTTATGGATAGGCGGGGTCGCTGGGAAAGTTTTATTTAATATTTCACAATTCTATTTCCGCCTTACATCTCCAACCCCGGGGAAGACCGTCCCTGGTCTTTTACCTGACCATTCCATTCCTTGAGTGTTCGTTCCATCGTCAATTCCATTCTCTGTTTTTATTTTTGACCGAAGTCACTTTTTATTTTTAAATTAAACCTCTACCTCTCCTGTTTTATCTGCCTCGCATTTTCTTCAAACACGTCTGCACTCACGCGCCAAGTGTCCTTTGCCTCCACACTGATAACACCTCACAGCTCTTGGTGGTCCACGTTGTTCTGTTCGCCTTTCTCCTGCTGATTGTTCTGGTTGTTGCACGCTTGGTCCCTCCACTTTGATACACATTAAAGTTGTTCAACTTTCTCTCTCATCCATACGGTCGATCGTCCCTGATCGTCACAGAATCGCTTTAAAAATTCTTGTATGTGGTTACACACTTACAATACACTTGTCTTCCGTATCCAAGCGGGATTATCAAAGCTCAATAGGTCGCCTCCATTTAAGACGTTTCTTCTCTTCTCCAATTACAATTAAGGCTGCTTCAATAAATTCCTCAACTGAGTTTATTTTTTCTAACGTATGGCGTTTGGTTATTCTAAAAATTCTTGGAATGTTCGAGACTGCTGAGAAGCGCCATTCACCTCCATACGCACGTGCTGATCTGGCTATTTTCGAGTTTGACTTTGCTAATACTTCAGTTCCTAATCGGAAATGACATCCATGTGGTAATATATAGTTCGGGCCTATTAACCATCCTTCTTCAACTGGTGCTAATGCTATGTCAATAAACATGCCTTTCCTCAATTTGTCCCACTCAACTCCCATACACTGACGTTTATAAAGGACCGAAGTCCGCTCCATTCCAAAAGCAATAACTCGAATTGAACCCGTCTTTCTATCTTTTCCCCTTCTCTTAGTATCTACAACAAACCCTGTTTTCAATCTGAACTCCTGTATTGCAACCATTTCTACTTCAGTCGCCGTAGCTTGCCAATTAATATTGCCTTGATAAAACCAAGTACTTTCATCCAATGTTTGAAATCTGTCAGTACGCAATTGAAATTTAGTAATATAAATGTCATCTCCGACACACGCATCTGTAGCGCCTTCATTGTTCATTTCGACTAGAGCTCTCCAAGGAATTTCCGTGAATAGAGGCCACCCATCTTTTTTGTTCGGGGATGTAGACACTGCAATAAGTCTGGCTTCTTGAACTTGGGATATAACATAATGTCTTCCTTTACTTTTCACTTCCGTAAAATTATCTTTATTTTGAGCCGAGACTCCACTAAACCCACTAGTTCCGACGGCTTGTGATTCATTTTCTTCTCTCCAAGAATTACATGCTTCCTCCCATTTATCCAGAGCTTCTTTCAGTATTTCTTCATTTTCAGTGTTTTCATTTTCGGCCTCCAGGACAAAATTCTCCAGACTTTCCGTAATATTCTGTGGATCAATGACATTCACAACTTCCAAAAGTTTTTCTTCACACGACATTTTATTTTGGATGGAAGTCCCTTTGTTTATTGATGCATTATCTGAAATGATAAGCTTTTTAAACGAGAATTCTCTCTCCTTTTCACTTTTTAAATGGACCGAAGTCCCAACGTTTTTCCCGCTCTCACACAAATTATTTTGGACCGAAGTCCCTAATGAAGCTGTTGACGAGGATCCAATTCCTTGCATTGCCGATTCGAGAACTTTAGTTTTGGCTGCTTTTATTTTAAGATTTTTGGACATTATTTTCTAAAAATATTTTGAATTAAATCTGAAAATTTTTGAATTAAAATTAAAATCCGTAAAAAAATTAAATGTGTGAGAGTAAAATGGTAAAGTTTGGGATAAATGATTGTGAAAGAGATTAAAAATAATTAGAATTATATTTAAGAGAGTGAGTTTATTCTATTGAGAGCCTTCTGGCTTTGGGATTCCTACGGAGGTTGTACCTTTTCTCCTTGGGTTCCCTACTAATATTATCTTCAGGACAATTCTCCTCTATTGGAGTGGTTGTAACTGGTTCCTGACTGTTTGAGTCATTAATTGCTTTTTCCTCTTCCTGGGTTAATTCTGGGACTGTTACTATCGGTGGTAAATCTTCAAAGCACTTCTTTAACTGGTTTATATGAACAACCTTCGGTATCGCACTAGGAGCATTACAACTAACTATAGTAACATAAATTCCATCTATTTTTACCACCCTAAACACACCTTTCCAGGGCATGTGAAATTTTTTCGAGGTACCTATTTTGCCACAATAATTCCTCAATAATACTCTGTCACCTACAGTTACTGTTGGGTTTCTTGTCAACTTATCATACTGGGCTTTTGACTTTAATTGGGCTTCCTTATTTGCTTCGTCAGCGGCTTCCCACGCCTTTCTTAGTGAGACTACTAATTTTTGCTTAAATTCAGATATATCAGTTAGTGCTATTGGGTCGTGAACTCTGGGATCTAGAATTTGGTCCACGCAGAAAATTGGATCTCTACCGAACATTAAAAAGAAAGGTGTTTCTCCTGTTGAAGCATGAATTGATGTGTTATAGCAAAAGCTGGCTATGTCTACAAATTCATCAAAGTCGGGTTGTTCCTTATTTATATACTTGGCAAGAATGTTGTGGAAAGTTCTAAAAGAGCGTTCAGTGACTGCATTGCCTTGGGACCAGTGAGGGATTGCATAGCTTTTATTTATATACATCATGGAGCAGAAATTTCTGAAAAATTCGCTAGTGAATGCCGTGGCATTATCTGTTATTAATTCAATACATCCGCCATACCTCAGATAGCAATTTGTGAGGAAAGCCTTTGCTAAAGTTAATGCTTTTGCGTCGGGGACAGGCACTGAGATTACATATTTTGTGAACCAACAAATAATGTTCATTATATATTTGTTTCCATTTTGTGTCATTGGAAAGGGACCCGCTAAATCAATTCCTACTTTCGCAAAGAGTGTATTTGGAGGAGCCAGCTGCATTTCAGCTCTGTAGGGAGGATTTGGAGAGTGCCGAAGCTGACAGGTTATACAGTTACGCGTCCAGGTGAGTATGTCAGCGTGCATTCTATGCCAAAAATATTTTCTGCATTTCTTTAATGTCTTTTTCATACTCATGTGTCCTCCGCCCAGGTGCGAGGAGTGAAAAGATTCAAAGATTAATGCTCTAAGGGAGACTGGTACATATATTCTGGGATACAAGTTCGGTAATTTATGGCAAAGTATGTCCCCTATTATTTGAAGATTTTCAGCTGATACTACAAATTTTTCTATTTCATTCTGCGGAATTTCTTCTGGAATTTCTTCTGTCTTTAAAAATTTAATAAGGCCGAAGCCTCAGGGTCTTCACTTTGTTCATGCCTAATATCAATTGTATAATTTTGTCCATCCTCTTTTCTTAAAGTAAAGGCTGCTATAGACTCATCAATGAGTAATTGCGACTTAGTTCTTAAGACTAAACATACAGGAAACTCGGCAATGTCTTCAAGCTTTTCGAGATTTTCTACTTCCTTGGGGTCATTTGTCTTAAATACCCTTGAGAGTGCATCTGCTAAAAGGTTTTCTTTTCCAGAAACATGCACAATTTTTATATTATAATTCTGAAGTTCAATGAGCCAGCGTGCTAAGTTTGGGTGAGCCTGCGCCTTTTCAAGAAGATACGCCAAAGGCTTATGGTCAGTGTGAAGCTCGACCTCTGCCATATAAATAAAAGGTTTGAATTGCCTAAGTGCATAGATTATCGCACCTAGTTCTATTTGTACTGGTGGCCACTTCCTTTCTGCAGTGGTTAATGTTCTACTACAATATGCTATTGCTTGAAACAGATTATTTTCATTCTTTTGCATTAGTGCCCCTCCTTGACCTACTAGAGAAGCATCAGTGAATATGTGAAAAGGCTTACTATAATCTGGAAAGGTAAGGACTGGTTCATTCGTTAATATTTCTTTTATTTTATCAAACGCTTTTTGTTGCTCGTCTTCCCACTTGAAGCAATTTTCTTTGCGAGTTAGCCTGGTCAATGGTTCTGCTATCATTGAAAAATTTTGAATATGCTTTCTGAAAAATGAGGCCATTCCTACTACTCGCCTGACTTCTTTGACGCTAGTGGGTGCTGCTAAGTTCTTTATTATTTCCACTTTGCTTAGGCTTGGTGTGTAGCCTGAGGAATTAATTATATGCCCTAGGAAGTGCATTTTTGTTGATCCCAATACACATTTCTTGGGACTGACTTTTAATGAAAATTTTCTTAATCGCTCAAATACTTGTTTTAAGGCATCGAGATGCACGTCAAAGTCATTTGGTTTTGTAAATACAAGAAAGTCATCTACATAAGTTAACACACAATCTTCTAATCCACTGATTACATGCGCCATTACTCTAGCGAACGCACTAGTTGCATTTTTTAAACCGAAAGGCATGTGGGTCATTTGGTACACTTCGTCTTCTGTAATTACACCACATTTCCTAGAGGCTCTTTCAGTTAGTCTTATCTGAAGATATCCACTTGAGAGATCAAGAGATGAATAAAAGTGACAACCTCCTACTTTTTCCATAATTGTTTCCAACCTAGGTAGGGGAAAATGGTCCGGTACTGTAACCTCATTTAATTTTCTAAAGTCTATACAAGGCCTAAGCCCGCCGTCCTTTTTCTGCACTAACACTATGTTTGAAACCCACGGAGTGTCAGATTTTACCATCACTCCTGATTTTAGAAGCTTGTTAATATTTTCTTGCAGTTCACTCTGAAATTTAAATGGGACTCTATGGGGTTTAGAGGCAATAGGAGTTTCAGTTGTGGTCAAAATATCATGTTCTCCTACTATACAAGACCCTAAATCATACTGGCTTTTACTGAAAACATCCGAAAATTCTTCACATAGTTTTTGGAGTCTAATTAAATCATTCCCTTGGACTGAGCTTTTTGAGAAATCTATTTTGAATGTTTTATCACTTTCCAATTTATTTACTTTATGATAATCTATTTCATTTTTATTTTGATATTGGGTTAGCCAAGGACCTTCACTGCTTTCTATATACTCATCGGCAAATGCTATATGCATCCCGTTAAAAATATGCTTTGGGGCATTTGTGGGATTGGCCAATAATACACATACAGAGTTGTTCATTGGTTCCACAACTGTCGGAATTAATCCAATGTTTTCACTTACTAGACGATCTTCTAAAGCATGAACCAATGCATTGTTTATTTTATTCATGGAATTTAATTTTCCTTTAACAATTTTGTGGGACCCTGGGAGAATAGTTGTGGCTTCTATTGCATAAATTTTCGCATTTTCTATTAGAGGTTGATTATTTATGCCGAGGCATACTGCGGAATTTCCAAACCACGCTTTGTCGTTCTTAAAGTCAAAAGTGACAGGTGGCAGTTTACCCAAAAGATCACATCCAATTATCATTTGATAATTTCTTTTATTGTTTAATTGCTTATCTTCTACCAGATTAACATCGACTGTATGCTTTAGACCAGCTACTTCTAGACAACATTTCATTTGTGCCTTGACTAGAATTTCATGGCCAGAGGCTGAAGTAATTGCTAAACAAGTTGGGGTAAGTCCTATATTTAATTCAATTGCAAGCGAAATAGGAGCTATGGATATGCTTGCACCTGTGTCGATAAGACAGTTCACAGGTTTACTATTAATTAATACCCTAGTAATTGCTGTATTAGGAGAGGTAGCATTAATATTTAATTTATTTTTGGCCGAGGCCGCATTTTCATTTGAAGTAGTTAGGACATTTATTTCTATTGGAGGTATTTGCGATACTTGAGGAATCCAGTTGC